CCCAATTTCCATAGTATTTCTGAACCTCATGACTATTTCTGTGTTTATTCACTCCATGCACCCCAGAAGCGAGAACATACAATTATCTCCATTTTACACAATGTGAAGCAGAGGCACGAGGGTGTCTTTGCAGATCAGGTCCCAGAGGTCCTTGGCAAAATAGGGAATTGGTGCCTTCCAGTTCCTGCCCTATGCTGTTGCCTTTATGTTCCCCACTGGAATGAAAAAGCCCCTCAGCTCCTGGAAAAGAAAATGTAATATAAAGGAGAAAAAATGTTTTGGGAAAAGCAGAAAGCGTTTGAGTCCTAAATGAGTTTGGAATGATCTTTTGTTCTTTAAAAGGAACCAAATACCTTTCGTTCCTTTTCTTGCGTCTCTTCGATACAATGAGTGTCAGGAAGCTGGAGAAGATTTTAATAGAGTAGTGCAAGGCATTGTGCAAATAGGAGCCTGGATGAAACAAAAACTATAAAAGACTTTACTCAGGCATAGTTCTCCTGGCATCTCTTCAAAATCGGAAACCTAAACCCCAAATCAAATGCAGTATGTCTGAGTATCTTGCACAAGAATTGTGTCCGAAGCCCTCATTTCTTTATACCCTGAATCTTTCACTCCAGTTTAGTCCTTGAAGGGCCACATTTTGATGCGGTTTTGTTTCTCCGTCTGTTGACACTGGAAGTTGGAAGTTTCTCCAAATGCTTTTGTGGTCCTTCACAGACATACTAAGAGGAACTGAGAGGTTGGCTTCTCTTGTGGCTGCAACAAACAGTCCTGGAGGTTTATGGGAGAAGCTCTTATTTGTCTGCACTATAAATCTGAAGGAGGGCTTTGTAAATGGTTAGTTTGAGTGCTGGTCACTTGAACAGGCAGTTGCTTTAGCTAATGCAGCACTTAAGGTATCTACTGAATGAGACTACCCAGCCGTTGTGTTATAAATATCTTACTGACCTGATAACACTGAAAAGGGCAAATGCAGAAGAATAAGGAAATATACTGTCCTGGTATAAACTGCAGCAAGAAGATTTAGGTCAGACATTGGGGCAAAAAAAAACCCCACACTTTTTTAATGGCAAGGATAGTTAGACTGCCCACAGAGACCACAGTCTCTCTGCCAGTGAAGGGACAGGTTGGGCAAACATCTGTCACAAATGACTGTTACAAGCCTTAGCTTCTCTTGGGAGGGGAGCAAAGCTCTGTTAAGAATTAGTTTTGGGGAGCTAATATGCTACAACACCTTTCATTAAAGATACGCATTAACATACTGCAGAACGCTTTTGTTCTGGCTGCATCATACCGTGGTTAAGGCAATTTGCCAGCCTGCTGGAAGGCTTTTGGAAGGCTCTGACTTATTATAGGCAATTGTACCTTTTGTCTGCCTGTTATAGCTTATACACGTAGGCAAACCGATAGCATCATGATTGACTTTTTGTTCTACAGTCGCTCTTACTTTCTTGTTTTGTAGATGTGTTGGACTTCCTCTCCCAACAGCTTGTTAATCTGAAGTAGGATTCTGTATTTTAAGATGAGAGTTGGCTTCTCCCCTCCCTCAATACCTCCTGATTAATCCCCAGTCCAAGTGACCTCCCTTTCTTGATAAGATCTGGTGTGGTATGGACAGAGAATGGGAAATTAAGGTGAAAATTTGGCTCTAGGAGCCCTCCCCTGGCATATACTTAGGTTTTGGACAATATTTATAAGGGGCTGTTAATGGTCTCTGGCATCCTTATTTTTGCTGATTCTGTGACCTGCAGTAATCCTGGTGGGAGTTTGGATGACTGGACTCTGATCAGAGAACACCCAGTGAGTCTAGAAACTGCAGGTTGACAAATATGTAGGATGCCTGGGATGGTTTATTTTTCCTCTTTTTGCTGAGGCAAGCACTGAGCAAAACCTAAGTAATAACAGTTTACAGGCTGTTAATACCAAATATCCTGAGAGTTCAGAAGTGCCTTATTCTGCTCTGCACAGCTTGGCAGGTTATATTCTTTAAGAGCAGGCATCATTATCTGGACAAATCTGTGACATTTAATTCTTTTGAGGCTAACCTCTGTCCCCAGAGTGAATTGCTCCTTCTCTCTCATGGCAGATTATCTAGCATAAAATGCACATTTTAATTTTCTTTCTCTTGCATTGTCTCTGTCCTGTGCATGAGATGCTTCTTAGTATCTTTACTATCATTGTCCACACGTGGCTTAAAGCCTATCTTTAACTACAGGTGTACACATTTGATCCTTACATGCGTGAGCATGTGAAGAAGTCTGCCCTCCCTCAGTTCACAAATCTTTTCTGATTTTCTCTGTGTCACTTGTTCATACCCAGTACATGTCTCCAGGTGTAAAAATAATTATACGTTATGCTTGATTGTACGGGTTAGCAATGAGGTACAATATTTGCATAGATACTTGAGACAGTCCACAGTTAAACAGGCCAGACCATTTCCTTACATTCTGTTTTTCCTCCTTTTCAGACGATTTACGAGGACTTCACTAGGATAATAATGAAGAGGCACGTACAGCTGTATTTGCAGATTAGGTACTCCAGTGCACAGGAGGCCATGACTGTTGCTGTCATTCTAATTTCATAACATTGGCCCATGTAGTACAGTGCTGTGAAATGTGCCTAGCATGCAGCCTTATGAAGTCCTCTTTCTGTACCAGAGAACTTCTGGGTAATTACGAGTTGGGTTTGCCTATCTGATCTAATTTATCACTTAGGGGTTTATATCATGCCTATTACTGTGATATCTAAGTGCTGCTGAGATACTGCAGGATGTCTCTTTCATCAAGTGCTTATTTCTATGATAAGTTAATGTTATTGAGCTAAAGTCTGTGCTGTTCTGTGCAGCATCTTAATCGCTGCTCCCCCCTGAGCCCTGTGTGTATAGTTATTCTACTTGTGTGGTGGCTTCGCTGAACTGGTTTTAGGGATTTGAGATCAGTTACTTGAAGGCCAAAGTTGTGCTGCAGAAATCATGGCTCAGCTGATGATAAATTGACCTGCTCGATCGATGAGAGGGAAGTCCAAGGCTGAGCAGACTGTGGGTGAGCATATGGATATACGCGCTCTGTCCCCTCAGAAATGCACTTTCCACATGCAGACTTACATAGGGGTGTGAGTAGAGACTGTCTGCTACGTTCAAAATAATCTCTCATTTGTGGGTAAAAGGGGCCACCAGTTCCCTGGGCTCCCACTCTGCCAACTTCCACTTATTGATTAAAGCATATTTAAAAATTAAAACAACATCTCCGTGCCCACTCAGCAACCTACTGCCCGGCCACTTCACCTGCTTCTGGTAGAAACCACAGTCCTGCTCTCCTTGGGGTGTCGTGTTTGCACTGCAGGGTAGATGGGGAGGTTGCTGTCTCTGGGTGATTTCTTCTGCCTTTCTTCTTCTTCCACCAGCCCTCAGAGTGGGTTTTTCTTTCATGACCAGATGAAGCGGTTGTTTGTTTGTTTTGAAGGTGACAAGTGTTTTATGTGAATTCTGGCTGCTCCAAAATGCCAAACCCCAGCTGGGCTTTGAGTTTCACAGAATAACCGCTGACACCTAATGAGCCTCTAATAAGTGCTTCTCCCTCCCTTCTTGTCGTTTAAATAAATAAATGACTGAAATTTGGGGGTGGTGGGAGGTGGTGTTGGATTGCAGTGGAATGAAGCTTTTCTGTTTACTCACCAAGCAGGTACACTGCTAAAAGCAGTCACACAAGCTTCCCACATACACATGCAGCCTCTCCCCCCTCAATGGCCTGGAGGGCTTCCTTTGAGGATGGAGCAGGAAAGTTCTTTCTCAAGCCCAGTTAGTTTCTTGCCCACTCAGCTTGAGCTGCGAGCCAAGGTGCTAATTAGTGTCAACTGTGATGGGGGGAAATGAGAACAAAGGCAAGACTTTGATAGTTCAAAGTGTAGTTGATGTTCAGGTGCTTTCTTTTCCTGGAATTTTTGCAAGAAGCAGTCTACCATTGGCAGTGGGCGTGCTACACGTATCTTCTCTTAAGGGAATGGATTCGCTTCAAAACAACTCTTATTTGTGGCAGTAGGTATAAAGCTAAGGAGTCCCCACCCCTCCTTTTCTGCTTTCTGAAGGTGTGATCTCTGCTTAAGAAATGGAGAATGAAAAGATGTAAAATTTCAATACATCTTTACGGAAAAATTCTGAGAATAAAGATCTTAGACACTGCTTGAATTTCTTTGTCAGAAACAGAGCAATTCCTTGTTTCCAGCTAGGATATGTAAACACATCATTGTGAAAGGACAAGAGTAGGTATATTAGTGAGACCTTAGCAGGGAATAGGCAGAGTACTGTTAAACAGGCTTCTCTGTATATGTTTATCTCCTGTGAAGACACTCCTAAAACTGCAGAACATCCACCTCTTCAGTCGCCTCTCCTCTGCCATTTGGAATAACTTAGTCCTGACTAAGAATGGGCAACCTATTTCCAGATGGAGTTATTTCTGGATAAAGCTAACTTTGGTTAAGGTGAATTAATGTGATTAATGTCACTGAAAACAAATGAAAACAAAATTTTGAAAAAGAAAATAAGATTTGTTTTGACTTTTTCAAGTGAGGTTTTAAAAATTACATTTTATTTCACTTTAGTTCTGTATGTATTTCTTGTCTCTTTTATCAGGAAGATAATCATTTTTATTGTGGTTAGCAGGCTGAACTTTTCAGGAGACAACAAGATATCTGGTTGTTGCTTGGCTGAGAAAGCTGAAAGATGTCATGTCTGTTTGGCTGTACTGATGGTACCCCTCTGGTCATCCGTTCACTCTCCAGAGGATTAAACCATCAGAGAGATGAGACGCTTACAGATGTGTTTCTTAATCTCTTCTCTCTCTTGGTTTCAATGCATTTCCTCAGAGCCTTCTTCCTTAAAACATCTCTGTCTCATACAGGCTTGGGCACTCCAGAGTGGTTCTCCTGCCTGGGCCTGGGGATGTGCTTAATGCAGAGTGGTGGAGCAGCTAGAAGTCTATCTTATGTTTTGTATTTCTCCACAGGTGGGGAAATGGAAGGAAAAGAAATTGCAGATGAAGTACTACGTGTGGCCCCGCTTTGAGCTTTATCCTGACTCTGAGGAGCGTGAGGATGATCACCTGAGTATAGTGACTCTGGAAGAGGCACCGTTTGTCATTGTGGAGAATGTGGACCCCCTAAGTGGCACCTGCATGAGGAACACAGTCCCTTGCCAAAAACGCATTGTGACTGAGTATGTACCCCTAAGTTTGTCTCCCCCTATTGTCCTCTCCCTTCTCAGCAAGAAGTAGGGTACTGGGCCAATACTGGCACATCCTAATAATCCTTTTTAGAAAAATCACCTCAGCTTGCTCAGCCTGGCCTGTGCCCATTCATGATTAGCCCCTCTCCTGCACAGGTATCACAAGTTAAATTCTCCACATTGTGGAGGGGAATTGTGGGAGGGGAAGCTCATACTGATCATAGAGAGGAATTAAGGGAATTTTCTCTGTTTTTTTTAACTCATTTTTTGTTGTGATGGTTCAGGAATAAAACTGATGAGGAGCCGGATTATATGAAGAAGTGTTGTAAGGGGTTCTGCATCGACATCCTCAAGAAAATCTCAAAGTCTGTCAAGTTCACCTATGACCTCTACTTGGTGACTAATGGCAAGCATGGGAAAAAGATCAACGGGACGTGGAATGGAATGATTGGAGAGGTCAGCAGCAAAAGGAGGGTGTGGTGGTCTTCATTCCTGGGCTGGGTGCCATAGGTCAGGTCTGACCTCCAGTCATTATTCTGTTCCCTTTCAGGGAGGGGACAGAAGTGACTCTGTAGAAATGATTGACTCCTTTCTGGGCACTGTGTGAATTAAACTGCTCTGACTCTCTGACCGTGACCACCTTTCCTGCTCAGAGATTAATTATTATTCCTTGTGGTGTCACAAATTTGGCCTTTATAGTCAAAGAAAGAATGTGATATCCATGCACCAAAGAGGCTGCAGCCTAGATTTAAGCTTCGATCATATATAAGATGTATAAAGAATGAAATAAGACTTTGCAGTGTTAGAAGGAGGAGAAAGCAAGGACAGAAAAATGAGATAAGACATCTTCTCAGTGGATGATGTGTTTATCCTAAGACCTCTGCGGATTTATTTTTTATACACATAGCAGCTTTGAGGGGAAGATAAATGTCTATAGATTCCCTGAAAGAAGAAGGTGTCCTGATGAAAGATTAGAAAGGAGAAATGATAGAAACAATATAGGGAATGGGATTAGAGGAGTGAAAGAACTGCATGAAAAGGCAGAATGGTGAGAAGAGACACGCTCATGATGCTTGAGTAGGGCTAGCCCTGGGTCTGTGTGTGTGAAATCTTCTTTTCTTTTCTCTAGGTCGTCACCAAGCGGGCCTATATGGCTGTGGGATCCCTCACAATTAACGAGGAAAGATCAGAAGTAGTGGATTTCTCTGTGCCCTTCATTGAGACGGGAATCAGCGTCATGGTGTCACGTAGCAATGGAACTGTCTCACCTTCTGCCTTCTTAGGTATCATTTTAATCTAAAATTAAAATTTAGTCCAGTGTTCATAAAAAATTAGGTGAAGGTTACTTGTGATTCTGAGCCTGAAAGTTCCTTTTTAGGAATACCTGTGGGACTGGTATGTAAAAATAAACTATTATGTTTTAGTTCTTAATCCCAAGCAAGCAAAATCCAGGCAAATGCAAATAGGCACTGCCTAGAAGTTCCAAGGCATTTCTCAGTAATTCTAGCAAAGAATGGGCTCCTCGGGGTTGCCATCTACCCTACAGCATGTGGTATCCCAGTGACTCAGCTAATGGCATGTTCAAGGAGTGTAGGCCAGAAAAAAAAAAATGATTCAAACATTATAGCTGGTAAACCAGCGTATTCTTCTTAGTGATGACAATTAGCAATAAATGGCTGTACTTTCAGAGACATTATTTGTAAAGATTTTAACTCAGTCCTCACTTGTCAGAGACACTGGAGGAAGTTAGATATCTAACAGAACTTGAAGGGTCGAGCCATCAGTTCTTTGCTGACACTGCATCCCAATAAAACGGTTTCTGTTGTTCTTCAGTGCAGGAGGGTAGTTGGAGAATGCAGAAATATTACTGCATTTCCCAGTGTCTTCCTAGTATCTACTATTTGGCTTTACAAAATGCTTTACGATGCAGCGAACATGCTACATGAGTTACATAATTACTGTCTCCTCTCTGCCAGGAACCTGAGAACACTTATAAACAGAAGTAATTTTATATGGATAATTTTTTTTCCCCAAACTTCTTGAAGAAGTTGTTTCATTACTACTCACTCTTCAGCAGTTTTTGCCATTAGCCAAGGAAAATTGGTTTCCAACTTTCCACCAGTATTACCTGGGGTGTGTAAAAAAAACAAGAAAATAAACACAACATTTTTTAATTGCAATTAAGTTGAGGTTGGAAAATTGACTGTAATGTGGGCCAGAGTTCTAGGTTTCCTTAATCTGGTACAGTCCCATCTTTATTTCTTCAGGCTTGGAGGTGGAGAAAACTGGCAAAGATCAAACAATTGCAGAATGGAAACACTTAACAATTCTAGAATGAGCCAGTGTTTCAATTGCTGCAAGAATAGAATAGCTGAGAAACTACTATCACTAGGGCTGAACCTCAGAAATTTGGAGATGCTCTTTGGCTCAGTAGCATCTTGAAAGTTGGATGCTCGTCTGAAACTCTGCCAGTTCTGTTTCATTTTCCCCACTCTCTCCAGATGGTGCTGGAGGACTTCCTGGGAACAGTCTTTTATCAATGCATTTTATTTTATCAATGCGTGTCACAGTGGCTGCGTGTGGTTCCAAATGGAGCCGTGTGTCACAGATGTAGCTGTAAGAATGAATGTAGTCATTACAGAAAAAGAAACAATGCTTCTACCAATTCAGGATGTTGTTCAGATTAGGGTTGAAGGCTTTACCATGACTTCTGTTTCTCCCAAGCCCATTTTGCCACACACTCTCATTGGGGTGCTCCGGAAGGCAAAGAAAGGAAGGGTAAGGTGGCTGCTGTGTATCAAGCCTTTCAGCATGGGTTTCTTTTCCTCTCCAGAGCCATTCAGTGCTGACGTATGGGTGATGATGTTTGTGATGCTGCTTATCATCTCTGCAGTGGCCGTCTTTGTCTTCGAGTACTTCAGCCCTGTGGGCTATAATCGGTGCCTTGCTGATGGCAGAGGTAAGGGAAGCCACTCCTTGCCACAGTCCTCTCTTGCTTTCAATCCTGGGTCCTTCATTACTGGTATTTCCTTTGCTTAAATGTGATACAGATCTAGTCCACTCTAAAAGGTGCTTAAAGAGGGCAGGGAGGGAGGCGGAAAACATCTCTGTAGCAAACAGATGTGGATAATGGATAATTTGCTTGGCTCAGGAGACTGAGCTGTGATGCTTTCATCTCTAAAGCAAACGCTAGCTCCAATCATTTCTTATGAAGGGGATAGGGATCCTGGTAGCTGGTGCTGGCAGTGCCTACAGAGCTGCTCTCTCTGAGGCAATCAGAGGGCTCTCCATTTTCAGTCTGCCCTTCAGTGCTACATCTCTTAGGAGAGCAAGCAGCACTGCTGGCCTCCCAGTGTAGTGCCGTACTCCAGAGCCCACATCTGTCAGCTGGGCATCATCCTCTCCAGATTGGCTCTCTGGCTTGCCAAAGCCAGCTGTGAAAATGAGAAGCTCATTTTTTCTGGGACTGGGCAAGCAACTATATTGTAAAGGCAGTAGGAAAGATAGGAATGAGTGACTTAACTCTCTGGTTCTGATCTTCAGGAGGCAGTTAAAGAGAGGATGGACAAAACAACTTGAGAGGGAGAATTTTTTCGTTTATTGGTATAAGGACAATTAGCAAGTTGAGCCTGTTGTCACCTCTTTATTTCATGCCCTAACAAATCGGCACTTTAAACCTTTCCGGAACTTATTGGTCAGTTGAGAGTGGTAGGATTGGGAGTTTTTAGTAAATTCATTCATTTGCTCCCAGTTTATTACTTTGAGTGCATGTAAGGGACATTAAAATAATCCAGTTCCAGTACCCTGCCATGGGCGAGGATACCTTCCATAGATCAGGTTGGAAAAAAAAAAAAAGTGTTTATAGAAATGCAGGCAGAACCACATATATGGGGAAGTGAAGAACTTTTTTTTTCTTGTGATGGAACCATGGGGTACCTTCATGGCAACACAGATCTTTGGATTCAAGTAAATACTGATAAACCTGTGAGTCTCCTGGGAGGTATTAATACAGATGTGGAACTGGAAGCAGTTTTTAATATAGGTATGCAGTTGTACAGTTATTAAGTTAGGTGAACTGTAGCTGGAGTATCAACATTTCTGAGTAATCATGAATGGTACTGCACCATCAGGAAGATATTATCCCTGACATACATAACACAGAGATGTAGAAAGCAGCCTGTGGAGGCTGAAATGCCTCTTTGGTAATGAATACTGTTGCTAATGTTATTTTGGCTGCATTCAAATAGTCTACAGTAGTATTAATCTGCTCCTAGATCTGGATTTTCTCTTTAAGGATACCTTTCTCCAAGTTAGGTGAGCATGTCCTGATCTAGCCTCCAACTACACTGATTTGTTGTTCTTGGGTCACTCCAAGTTTGAAATGTCATTCCTGGTATGGATTAGAGACTCCCGTTGCTGTCTTGATTTGTGGCTCAAAGCAAATGGGGTGACTGGTGAACAGAAGATAATAGCAAAGAACTTCTTGAGATTTCCTCACAGATTACAGTTCCCACTGATGTTTTACACGGCTTGCACCTGTGTCTTAGGGCAAGTCCATACCTGTACCTTGAAGTACCGTATCTTACAGAGACACATGATTCAGGCATCTCACTCATTTAGTAAAGAGGAATTAAAAGTTACCACTCCAACATGTAAGATGCAAGGAGTGTCAAACCAATTTCTTACACCAAGTTTGTCTCCTTGCATCTAGAGGCTCCAGTTTTTCCAGATGATGATTCTACTTCGAACTTAATGTGCAATTCCCAGATTACACAATGAGCCCCTTGCACTTTTCAGCTGCATTAATGGCACGCACAGTTTGTGCCTTCAGATGATCCATACTTTTCCCTATTCAGTGCTTTGAAGAGAAGTCATCAATTGACTTTCTTCCCTTCTGTTTCTCTGCTGGAGCCAACCTTAATCACAGGCAGCAGCACCCGGCTCCCACCTTCCCAAGGGAGAACATGAACCAAATGGTTGCAGAACCAGGGTAGCACCATCAGAAAAGTGACAGGCAGTACTTGAATTGTGCCAGAGAATCTTCTCCCAGGAGAATCTTCTCAGTGCCTGAAGTACGATCTTTTGAGTAATTCCAGCTGCAGTCTCAACGACAGTTCCTCTTGTGCTCAATTTGAGCATATGTTTTGGTTCCCACTAATGGAACCTACATATGCCAGGGATGTGGGACTGCTGAGAACCAGACAGGATTTCACAAGGTTTCAAGCATGGTGTTTCATGAGCATGCGTGGCTTTTGGGCTATGTGTGAACTTTTACTCTGAAAAGTGAATAAGGGGAAAATATCAGCTTTGTAAACATTGGATTTGTTCTTGAGGCTGCTGATCTTCCTGAGAGAGACCAAAGTATATGTTATGTAGCTTAGACGCAGTACATGGAGACGGACTGGGTCCTTCTCTGGCTCATGTAACATCAGCAGACTCAGTAACAAAACACTCTTGCAGATGTATTTGTAGACTCTTGTTATTTCAGATGATGCTCTTTCTTGCACCTATACAAGTGCAGTGAAGGCCATATTTTGCACCGATGTATGGTAGGAGTTTAGGAACAAAACCACTGTTAAACAACTAGAAATGAGGGTAGAGTTCTTCTGAGAAAACTATTTCTGGTGACTACACTTGAACTGAAATGGAGTGTTCTACATTTTCTAATCAGGTACAAAAAAGCCCTTATATAAACCTTCACTGAAAATCTTTGGGACAGAATGAATACAGAAGCCTGAGGACATTTTAGAAAATCACTTTTCAGGGTTATGCTTTGCTTAGATATAGTGTCATGAATACAGGGGAGCATAGCTATGGACATTCATCTCACAGGAATAGATACTAACCTTAACTCTGAAGTCATGTATGTAAAGAGAAATGCAGACTGCTTGCTCTGAGATGCTCACTGTGGAATCTTGTTTCTCAATCACTCTAGAGCCAGGAGGTCCCTCTTTCACCATTGGCAAAGCTATCTGGTTGCTGTGGGGGCTGGTGTTCAACAACTCTGTGCCAGTGCAGAATCCCAAAGGTACCACTAGCAAGATCATGGTGTCAGTGTGGGCTTTCTTTGCTGTCATCTTCCTGGCCAGCTACACTGCCAATCTGGCTGCCTTCATGATCCAAGAGGAATATGTTGACCAGGTGTCCGGCTTGAGCGACAAAAAGGTAATGGATGCCCTCAGAGCAGTCTTCTTCACAGAAGAGGTTGTATTGCTCTTTCTTCTCTTACTGCTAAAATACTAAGATTTTTTCAGTTGCGACATTACTGTAGTCCCTGGTTTAAATAGCACAACTGTTCTTCACTGGTATTCAGTTCAAATTTTACACATTTTAAGCATTTCAGGAGTGAATTATGGAAACAAAACTGATCTGTGCTTGCTTGCATGATCCCAAACTACACCTTGATTGGCAGCAAGAAATGAATTAATGCTGCTTTGAAGGTGATGTGTATAATGGCTGCAACCCATTTTTTCAGGATGAAGTAATTTGTCTGTGTGGGAACTGTGACTACTGTGCTAGCAAATATGATCTGTTAGTTTATTCTGGGGACAACTTCTGCCTATGGGGGTAAATCAGCTTGGCTTTGATGATTTACTATTGCTTGCATTTTAAGTTAGACTGTCATTTTTTCAAGGCCTTTGGAGGCTTAGCACAAAAAATCATTCCCTGTTTCACTGTGTTTCACTGCCTTGTTTACATGCGGTGCGTTTTGTACTCACAGGGCATTTGCTTTTGCTAGGCTTTGCGCACTGAGGATTTTGAGGAGATTGCTCATGCATGCAGGTTAGCGCTGTCTGGCTCATGAGGGTCTGAAGCTGTGTGCACTGCTTTATTTTTGTTTTGTTGCAAGGTTACTCACAAAGAATTGAATTCTGTGAGTCTCGACTGCCCGTACTGTATTTGTTACTCAGTCACTGGGTCTTCTTTAGGGGTCATGTCATTGTCAGGCAGCCACGTAGCAACAGGTCACATACGCTGCTATTGGAGATAACAGCAAAAAGAGGAATGTGTGTGTTGATTTGCTACTACTGGTCTGGTTATAGTTACTGTCTCTTTAGTGCCCCTTGACAGTCTAGAAATAAATTGTGGTCGGTCCCCCTGTGTATACAGTGTCATGTGCATCAGGCTAGGAATTCTGTGGTGGATTTGTTTCTAAGAGGTTTTTTCATTGGCTTTTTTTTCCTTTCTAGATGTTTCTGTTTTCTCCCTGGAAAGAAATATGACAGAATAATACAACCCGTGCAGAGGTGCTCCTGTTATTTGTTTTCATTCCAACCTCAATTTGTTCCACAGTGTCTCACATTTGCAGTATTCTGTGTTGAGGAGGGGGTGAGGAGGATGCTCTTCTGTTAGGTGGAGGTTGTTGCACAGGCTCCTGAGAAGCCATGGATTCTCTCAGGTTGAAAGGCACTGTTCAAAACCAGCCAGCCCTACCAGAGTTAACATTAGTTTGTCACCATTAAGTTTTCAACTGTCTGAACTAAATGGGGTAGTTCATACCTCTGATCTATTGTTTCAGACTGTGCATAGGCTCATGGAGAGAGCTATGCTTAGGCTCATAGAGATAGCTATGCTTTCTTTCTCATGTTTTTCAAAACACTCTCCATACCTGCAGAGATATGTGTGTGAAATATCAATTGAAGTGGTAGTTCCTGGAGCTTCATAGAGCGTTTGGATGTAGGTTTCTAGCCTTACTTTGATCGATATCATTGTAGGGCTGCTTATGTGTATTGGATTAAGGTCATTTTCTTCTGCTTTTCTTTGCTTACTTACCTGTGTTTGCTTTTGATATCCTAAAGCATGCACTGTTTTTCTTGGGGAAGAGAAAGGCCATAGTACATACTGAAGTGGCTGTGATACGCCTCAAACACAGCTGCTAGTGCAAGTGCAGCATATGGGCAAAATTATGATCTACCAGAGCATCTGGAACCAGATGAAAATTGGCTGTTAAAAATGAAGGCCAACTGCTGTGTCTTGAGAATAGACAAGTGGGAAAAACTCCATCCAAAAGGGTAAGAGATTGATCTGCTGGACTCATGGACTTCCACTCTGTGTATGCAGAAGCTCTGCAGAATTTGAGACCAGCCACCCAGGTACCCAAGCCCTGCTTCAGGATGACCTGGTTTGGGAGGAATTCTCTCTTCTGAATTTCTTCTTTTCTCCTTCTTCTGAAGTCTGCACAGTGCTTGCGACCCCCTCAGTACACATACCCTGGAGATGGAGTTGTGCTGTGCTCTTCCTCCCTTCTCCTGCCAGCTTAAATTAGTCAGTTCAGATTTACAAAGGAGGCAGTTGCTGACCTGTGCTGGTTGGCCAAGCGGGATGGCTTAAGTTTTCAGGCTCTTATCTCCATTGTGACTGCTGATGTCATCCACAGCAGAACTGAGGCAGATCAGCTCCTGGCCTTCTATAGCCAATATGGGCAGCTGTGTCCAGCACAAGGAGTCACACAGAATGGAATCCAAGCTGATGGATGAAGATCTAGATACTTAAAGGATATCATTCCTCCTTATCTAGAAACAGAATCTGCTTGCATGACAGTACCTGAGGAAAACAGAACTCCAGAGCAGCCAAAATGCCAGATGCACTCCCAAAATGCCAGATGCACTCCCAAAATCCATTACTATGCCTGGTGGGGGAATGCTTATCAAAGTCAAGCTGGCTTCTGCCTGCAACACCCACCCAGGGATCTCTGTAGACAGTGTGGTCCTTGCTCAGAAAGAGCTGAGAGGGGCCTATGGCTGTTGACCTGCTACGTCCCTACAAGTGCGGGCTGAATCATTCCAGCTGTCTGAGGACTTGGAAGGTGTCTTGGCTGTTTCCCAGCATTTCTGTACAAGTGACATGCAGGACAGGGACTAATGTCATGTCCTTGCTGTGCTGCAGGGATGCTTGAGCAGACCTGCTCGAGCAGGGACCTCTATGATAGGGTGGTAGGTAGTACGGTGGGTGACTGTGCTGAGCTTCATGGCCTTTGCTGCTCTGTCTCCTGGCCCTGAGGGTGTGTTTGGGTGATGCTCACTATGCACAGTGCTGCCTGTTTGTTGTCAGCTGGCTTAAAATCGGTGCCAGAGCTGAGCCAGGAATCCACAGTTAGCACGTTAATCCTCATGGCTGCTTAAATCACATGTCAAACTGGCTCCTACAGCTGTTGTAGACATGGGCAGAGTCAGGGAGGAGAAACTTGCTCCTCCTGGAGAGCAGCTCTGATCCTGCAAGACCTGGCCAAGACCTGATCTGAGGCCTGCCCTCATCACCCTCCCCGTGCAGCAGAGAAGCTGGTTATGAGCCTGGCTGCCACTGGGGACCACCACGACCCTCCTGCAAATGGCTGGCCAGCAAGATGGCCTGTCACAGGTTGCTGCAGCCAGCGCACGCGCCTGGTTTCATCTGACTGCAATCAGGAGATATAACCCAATTTCCTATAATGGGAGAGCTTCAGACTCGTTAGAGAAACAAGTGCCTGCGGTATTTCAGTCTAACGAAGGCAATAAATACAGGAAAGATTATATAAATGAGCTAATGTGTGAAATAATCTAATAGCTTTACATAATTTCCATTCATATACAGTAATAATAGAATAAAAGCAAATGTGGACAGCCAGCAGGGCATTTAAATAAAATAATTTAGAATGCAGTAGGTTAATAATAATAATAAAAAAACAGTACCCGTGCCTATAAATTAGTTGGAAATGCCAAAGAGGCTAATAAAGTATCAGAATGGTAATTTTGTAATTGACATAAAAAGGAGAGAAATGGATTTCTGTATGCCTGCAAATTAATATAGATTGCTGCAATTTCACATGTATTTAACTTATTTGCTTCTTAAGATATTAATGAAACGTTGAGACAAAGAACTTATTTCTATGAAGCCTAGGTCAGCTATTTTTTGTTGTGTTTGGGTTTTTTTTGTTTGTTTGGTTTTTTTTTTGTTTTGTTTTTCCCAATGAATATCCATTATTTCCAGAAAAAAAAATGAAGTTTTAGAGTTGAAACTGGCCAAAATCTGATATTTGCCAAAGTAGATCATTTTAGTGTACTTGAAACAAAGTATTTTGATTGGTAACTCTGATGTGTATTTTTGATTTATTTTCTACAGGCTTTAATCATAAAATAGACCTACATTTAAGAAAAGGAATTTTTTTTTTTTTTTTTTTTTTTTTTTCTGTAATGAAGGAAAGAGTTAATTGAAAGACAAGGCAACATGTTATCCTGAAGTGAATGAAACATTTCAGGTGGACACAAAGCAAAAATCTCACTAAAACAAAACAAAACAAACAAAAAAAAAAAAAAACAAAAAAAAACCCAGTACCCTGCAAAGATGAATCTGCTTTATTTCTGCAGTAATAGGTGCTTGGCCATGAAACTGAAAAATGAATTATTTTCTACATTCTGCTGTGCAGCACATTAAATGTAAATTACACAAGGATCCCAATATGCAGAACACTTAAGCATGTGCTTAACTTTGCGCTCATGAGTGGGGACATTAAAGTCAATGGGCTATTAGTCACATGATTGAAGTTAAGTGTCTTTCTGAGCTTTTTTACAACAAATACTTGCTCTGGAGAAGGCTAGGATAAATTCAGAGCAGGTACCTTCGTCTGAAATTTTCCGAGGAGACCATAAGTGGGGCTCAGTGTAGCACCCTGAAAGGTGTGCTAGAGGAGCGGGTGTCTAATTAGTTGGCTTGGAGGCAGCACAAACCTTCCTCAGGATTAAGCAGTTACTGTCAGTGAATATTTGTGGTTTCACGGATTTCTTGCATGACACAAAGGAAGTTTTATGTGGCAATGTCCAAAAGGACAAAATATTTAACCCTCTCAACAGCAGTATTATTTTTGTTATGTGGAGACCTATATGGAGATTACAAGGTAGCTAGATGCAAGCAAGGCCATGCCACTTCCAACCTAGTTATTTTGTGATAAATCAGAAACGATCTTCAATATGGGTAGAGTCCTGGCCTGGAGCACGCTAGACAAAAATTAAAGAAATCATGCCCCCATAAACTTGATTCTCTTCCACAGTGCTTCTCTGGTGGGGACATCTTCCTGTAAATGAGCTGAACTGCATTCGGTTCTTTGTTTCGAGATGACCTTTATATATAACATTAACAGTACTGACTAGTGTGTGATGTAACAAACACTGGTTCACAGTGAAGTGCGGAAA